AAACATCAGCAGAACTTCAACAAGAAAGAAGAAAGTTTGAAACTCACCAAAACTTGGCTCCCAGCACTGAAAAATACAGCGTGCGAAAGGTCAATGAACTCTACCCGGCCACAAGGACCGGTGATCACTACACACAATAGACCAGCTCACGACACATATCAATCACAGTGACAGATAATCTCTCCTCCTTATCACAACAATACACCCACAACAAAAACACACTGATCACCATAATTACCCATCTCCTGAAAAGGACAAAAGTTTATCTCACAGCCATAATTACTCAACTCCCAAACAAACTGCACCAGAGCACAGAGTGCTGTCCTCTGAAGAGGCCAGCCACAGAGACTGGTGAAACGTTAGAAAGAATAACTTTCAGAACACGGCCAGAGAGACTGAAAAACCCACAACAACCAATTGACAAATTGATTTGATTCATCAGAAAATAATGTGAATTCATAATGTATGATTCATCAACCTTGATGGATTACAAATCAAAATGAACCACCATTTTTCTGATTTGTGCCCATCTGTATTTTGGACAGTTTACAATTTCATTATGCAGACAACACATTGCCTCCTCAGCAAGCTGGATACTCAAGTTACTGACCACAGAATGATGAAAGGTTGAGTCAACCTCTAGCCAGGTACTTGAGTCCGGAATTGAACTCAGATCATGAGCAGTGTCTTAACTGCAGAATTTCATTTTAACCACTGTACCACAAGGCTCTCCTGCAGTTTAACCACTGAGCCATGAGGCTCCACAAATAAGGAAAGTATCAGTGTAATATGGCAAGTGAAATTCAAGGACACTCTGTGACATGAAAGCATGTGACTATTACTGCACAGCTTTTGTACGGGCTTCAAGGTGCAAGTGAAAGTGCATGACCAGACATTTTCTTTCATTTGCCATGCCCTCTAAATTAAGCAGTGTTTTAGTTGAAGTAGAGAGGGGAAAGAAAAGCCTAAAGTTACAACTTAATACCCCACTGTTGTTGCGAAGAATGTTTACTTCTAGAGTCTCACTGGCTGAAATCCTGTTCTTTAGCGTAGTTAGTCTCACTAGACTAGGCCCACAGAATCAGTGGTGATTGGTGAGTCAACTCCTCCATAAATCAGGGCCTATTCTAGCTGTTAATTACTAGGCTAAAGTAAGTTGCAACTAGAGTAAGCCGATTTGAATCAATTGGAATGTATGAAGTTTACTCACCAAATTCCCACTGATTCAATGGGCCTACTACTATAAAGTGATTTACTACTGTAAGCAACAGGGTTTTAGCCACTGAATTAGATGTGGCATATTTCCTAGCAAATGTGTTTGGGAGTATAGCCTAAAACACAGAGGTAGTTTCCCTCTAAATATATTCCTTTTTAAGAAAACTGTCTATGACTGTTATCAATAATATAAAGTACATTCTACACCAGTGGTTTCTAACCTTGGTCCTGAGATGCTCTTGGACTAAAACTCCCAGAACCCTTCTCCACTAGCTGTTCTGGCCAGGATTTCTGGGAGCTGTATTCCAAGAACATCTGAGGATCTAAGGTTGGGAACCACTGCTCTACACATTTGTTTCTGTGCGAATCCTCTGATCAACCAAATATGATTTATGAGTCTGGCTGATCTCTGCTTTTTTATTTACTACATTCCCTAGCTGATGATGATGATGATGATGATGATGATGATGATGATGATGATG